ATTGTCCTAAGAACCTTTGGAAAGCCACCTAAACATTTGTCCTATTTCTGTCATGTGTCCTTGTATATAATGAAAACATGTATGTGTGTGTGTGTGTTTGTGTGTGTGTGTGTGCCTTGTGCAGCTACTGGGAGGCTGGCGTCTGGTGCCGGGACTCACTGTGGTGTATTTCCCCAGCTGGCAGAGAGAAGGGAAGGTCTCTCGGTGCGCTCTGCAGATCTTCTCCACCACGAGGCCGAGCTCGGCCGTCAGCTCGTACGTCTCCATGATGGTCATCTTCACCGCCTCCTTCTTCCCCTTCCTCCGGTTGCGGTCGTTTCTCACCGCTAAACACAATTTGATCAGGAAATCAGGAAATTAGAGAGTTAGTGGTTAAAAGGACCTAAATATGACTCAACTATATTCGAATTGGGGATAAAAAATGACAGAGAGGAGGTACAAACTGACTAAGAAAGCCCGCTAAGAACAGGCTTGTATCATGAATTTAACTTGCTTTACACAGTGTAATTGTCTATATCTATTTGTGTGTGTGTGTGTGTGTGTGTATAAATATTGTATATATTGTATATTGTATATTGTTCAATGCAGTCAGAAAATTACAATGGATAAATCAGTAAAAAGGGGAAGGAGTGAATCCAAATGCATCTCCATGTCTTTTGTTAATGCTGAAAGAATAAAAAAAAAAATTTAAATGGTATAAATGCACTTTAAACTTTTAATTCAGACTTAACTGGGGCGTTTTGGTAGGAATATATTTTGGTCGGGGCAGTTCTTGGTATGCACAGCGCAGATTTATTAAAAAGATTCAAATAACGAGGGTTAAAACCACATTTTTCAATAATAAAAAATAAAAGTGAATCATAAATATGAGTTTTTAGCTCTATTTTTTTTTTTTAAATGTTGTAAAATTCTAATCAATAATAAAAACAATAAAAATACAAGTCTGAGGAAAACAGTTTGAGAGCACCAGCTGGGGCCAAAGTGACAAAAAGTCACTCTCCATCTCAACAGACAGGTGGAAATGTGCAAAATACTCAATTTTAAACTATTAAATTCACTTGTTAAGCCTGGAAGGCACTTTTACACTCTCATCCAGCAGCGCAACACAATCAGGGCTCCCGCTGGTCCACATTTCCCTCTGAAGCGTGTCAGAGGGAACCAGAGCAAATCCCTCCCAGCAAACAAGGGAAGAACCAACTAAGCTTGCTCCGCGAAATGGATCATTCCTCTCAGTGTCTCAAACGTACGCGTGGTGTGATGTTTTCTGGGGCTTTTGCATCATTTGTAGGTGAGCGGACGGGGGATCTGTGTGGGCCATCTGCGGCCCTGACCGGGTTGGCCTTTTGTAACGGCTCCCGGTAAACGGTGTCAACACGTTTTCCAGAGCGCCCCACTGACTCGGCCCCAGCTCCACATGTCAGCGGCCGCTCGGGATTACGCAACGCCTCGGCCGTCCCGTGGCCCCTCCTCTTCCTCCTCCTCCTCCTCCTCCTCCTCCTCCTCCTCCTCCAGCCCCCCCCGGGCTGTCCTACATCCAGCCGCCATTGTGTAAACACTGAGTGAGATCGTGTTACAGGCCGGCGGCGGGAGCCGGGGAGCTGTTACATAGCGCGCATCTGTGCAGTCCATGTGACGCGTTTATGTAACGCCCGCGTGTGTGTGTGTGTGTGTGTGTCTGAATGTGGACGAGCAGCTATGACAAACATGTGGATGGGTGGATCCCTCTGTTCTGCCCCTATATCCCCCACTCACTCCCCCTCTTCACGATCATCCAACATCAAACACGTAGCCAGTTATGTAGGTCGCCGCATTCCTGGGTAACACACAGACTCACACACCGAGTCTGTCTCTATGTGAGTCCTGCTGGACTTCTGAGACGTCCAAATCTTTCAGGGGACCGTGTCAGAAAAAGGATTTTTCGCTCGCAAACCAAACCAGATTTCATAGATTTGACCTTTTTTTTTTTTTTTTTTCCCTAAAAAACACGGATCTGAGGTGGAAAACTAGGCGGCAGCTTTGGGGTCTGAGCGAGGGTCGGTAGATCTTTTCTGTCGGGCTGCATTCAGCCCCAGTAATTTTCACCAAAAGAATATAGGACAGCCTTTATGCCGCCTGTGTTTGGCTCGGCCCGAGGCACCCCCCGGCTCCGGGCGCAGTAATCAGGCCACTGAGGAGACCGTTTCAACATTTTTTTTTTTTCACCGTCTCGGTCAGATGAGGCTACTCAGCTCTGAGCTCATTGGGCTGTTCAGATTATATAAGAATGATGAGGGCTGGAGGGATTACCTTTTCTGGGTTGATGAAGTGATCACCGGACTGAAAAGATTCCTCTTTCTACTGATAGATATCTGTCTGCGAATGCCTCTTTTGTTCTTTCAAAAAAATGCTCTTTATCAGCCACATTTTGTCCACAAAGAGTGGATTATTTCCTTACAAGACGGCTGAATAGGTTCTAGGTACAGGCCAAAGAACAAGGCCAGAGTAATGAACTAGAAAAAATAAATGACGCCAATAGTACACTCTACTAAATTAGATACAGTCATGTTGAACAGGGGACAAAACATAAGAAACAAAGAAGTTAACAGGTACAAAATACGCATGCACAAATATATGTATAAATAAACAGTAAGATCACAAATATAGGGCATTTTACTTGGTAAATTATATTAGAGGGAGGTCCTATTAGAAAGTCATTAAAGCTCATTTAATTAAACTGGGGTTGTTTTATTGATCTTTCTCTGAAAGATCCAGTTAAAGAGCCCAAAGGCCACTGTGTGTAGTCCAGGCTTTCCTCCTTTACCGAGGGACATCGACATGAACACATTTGCATAAATCTTGCTAAGTGGCTCATTTAGAATCGCTTAAACAAAAAGGGAGCACCTGCTTTATAAACAGTTACTGAAAAAGCTAACCGGTCAGGGGTTTCTAAGTCACGATGGTGACTGACCCCTGTCTTCTTTCTGCTGCGTTCAAGGGAAATGGGAGGTTTTAGTTCAATCTGAATGTCCATTAATGCAATCAAGTTCCTCCCAATACAAAGCTTACACAGTTCCTGTGACAGCATTTTCTCATTTCTGAGCTCCATTGAAAGCAGCGTTATCCTTCTTTGAAGGCAAAGCTTGAAACAATGCGTTTAAAGACGTCGTTAAAGATCTTCTCATTGTTTTTGAAGGGGCTTTAGTCACCAAATAAAATTCTGGTTCTGTTAATTGAACTTTTTTAGCGTTGAAAAGTGATAATATTCCTTTGTTTTGGGAGAAACTCATGATATTTTGGAGAAAATCTACTTTCTGAAGGAAAATCATAATTAAAGCTTTGTGTCACTGATCTAAATCCACGTTTTGTCCCACTTTCTCTGACCAAATAAATGATCTGTTATGTATTTCTTGATATTCCGCATCAGATAAACTCTGCTGTTCTGTATTGGTTCTCATTTCCTGTCTTTCCTGAGGCGTCCGTCCGGCTGTGTGTGTAAAAGGCGAGCTCTGAATCGTGCTTACACTCTTTGGACATCCCCACGGCGAAGCATCTCTGCAGGCGGCAGTACTGGCAGCGGTTCCTGGTGATCTTGTTGATGATGCAGTTTCTGTCGCGGTGGCACGTGTACACCATGTTCTTCTGCACGCTGCGCCGGAAGAAGCCCTGCGGAGAAACGGGGGGGAGGGGCAACCAGGCCACCGACCGTTTAGGCCGAAAGGATAAGAACTCAAAGGCCGGACCGACTTCTTTTGGGGTTTTTTTGAGCGGCTCGTACGAGGTGACTGTTTAACAAATGTATTTAAAAATAAACCGATGCCTGAAGTCCTCTCAAAAATAGTCTGGGGGATTCAAACCTGCAACCCCTGACGGTGCCAAACACCCTGCAGCCAGAAGTCAGGCAGTAAATGATACAGTTTCTTCACAAAGCCTCTCCTAAACATGCGACTTAAGACAAATTTAAGGGTTTTTAACCAGCTTGTGATGCTGGCTCAGCAGGAAAAGCCCTAAAGTAAAATTCTGTCATTTTACCTCGCGTCTCACAACGGGACGTGTCAGAAAAAGGCTGCGCTAACCTGCTCCATCCAGCTTTCCTTCCTTTCATTTCTTTTTTTCAGCTCAGATTTGGAAAAACTCTCCTGAGCTGTAGATCCTTTTGGGGCTTTTAAGGATTCTGCCAACATCTTAATGCTTTACACGCATTCATGATGTACAGAAACTCACATGGTTAAAAAAAGTTTAAGAAAATTAAAAGGTTGCTGATCAGTTAAAGTGATGAAGCCACTGTTGTGTGAGTTTTTTATTTCCTTCAAACTCAGCTCGTTTAGCAAAAATGCCCCAGACTCAAACCTTTACTCCAAAAAAAGGGAGTAAAGGTTAAAAAGTGACAAGACGACAATGAAAGGTTTATCTTATCTTGAGCCTGATACTGACAGGATTGATGGTGTTTTCAGGGCAGCAATCAATCATGTCGTAAAGCACAGAACGGGTTTTTTTTTTCAGCCTGTTTCCAGAGCGTTTCTCTGGGCTCCCAGCAGCCCGGACGGCCTACCTTGCAGCCCTCGCAGGCGCTGACTCCGTAGTGGTAGCCCGAGGACTTGTCCTGACACACGAAGCAGGGCTTGTACGTGCGGGGGGGCGGAGGCGGGGAGGGCGGCCCGGCGAACAGGTCGTCCGAACTGGAGCTGGAGCTCTGGCTTCCCACGGCTGCGGACACGGAAAAAAACCACAAGGAACATCACGGCCGGAATCTGACCGGAAAAAAACGCGTGTCTTAATGCACAACAAGAAACAGTTCTGGAAAGCATCCGGCTGATCCGAGATGCTACAGCCAGAGTTTCAGGAAGGTTAAGGAGGTGACTGATCAAGTTTCTCCAGTTTCAACTCTTCTTCTTTGGTTTCCTGTTCAATCCTGCTGGATATTTTCCCTTCAAAAATCTTTCCTCTCAGCCTTCAGGTCCACTTGTGGTGCCTGAGTTTGCAAAAGCTGAAGAGGATGCTGACCCTTCAGGTTTCAGGGCCCTCTCTGTGGAAGCAAACCCCCCCCCCCTACCAATAATATCAGGCTAAAAACTTTCTTTATTGATAAAGCTGATGGTTAAAGATGCTCAGGGACTCTTAAACATCCCATAGGAGGCTCCCATGATGCACCTCTCCTCCCCCTGCTGCTATAGGCCCGGACTGCTCCTCTCTTTCCTCCTTTCACATTAGAAATGTCAAAGATAAAATCACTCATACGTGAAACGGACCCAACACTTTTTGGGAAGTTTACGTTTACGTTCTTCTTGGTTTTAAAAAATGAAGCACGCGTGGCAACACAATTGGGCCTTCGGAATGTGTCACTATTAAATGAATTTTAAAGAAAAATCCATTTCATTTCCGTATTAGAACAAATACCACATGACTCTTGTCTTTTCTTATTGCCTGTGTTCAAGTATTCTCTGAAAAACTCAACTTAATCTGTAGCTATAACTGTAACTCTATATTAAAATTTTCCCTATGAACTGCAGTGGAAAAACCTAAAAAAAGAGGAAAAATCCATTCCATATGTCCCTGTTTATTAGGACAGACCACTAGAAATTAATACAATAAATGAATTAAGGATACTTACTGCTACAGACCACACCACTCTATATATGATCCCCAAAAGAAAAGGTTGACTGAACAAAAAGCATGTAAACGCAAAATCAGACTAAACTTAATAACAGAGGTATATTGTCAGCCTAATACAAAATTGTTAACAGGAACAGAAACTTAGAGGTTGGAAGTTGTTACTTTAAACTGAGAATTTTTTAAGGCTGAGCCGGGATTCTTGTGTTAAAACAGACGTCTTTCAGTGGTCCTAAGACCAGCGGAAGACACCACCCGAGCACTTAAGGTTGTAGGTTTCCTCTATAAAAACACTTATTTACTTACTTTAAATTGGTTTTTATGCTTTATGGATTTACTTACTCTTTTTTAAAATATTTTTGTTTCTTTGTTTAATATTCTTTCTTGATATTTCTGAGCATTTTTCAAATCTAGAACACTGTGTTCAATAGGAAGCTGTTTATTACAGTGATCTCTAAACAAATTTGACTTGTTTTTAATATTCTTATTCCTTATCAATAGTGTTTCATGAGTAAGATGTTTGAAAAACTTATTTAAAAAAAAGATTGAGATGCAAGTTAATTACATTTAGGTTATTATCTACAAAAGCATGTGGTGATTTATTCTTGTAAGAATCTTCCCATATAACGAGAAACAATTCAACCTATGTGCTAAAAAAAACTGCAGTGGAACAAACAGAAAATGGACGAGCCAGAAAAAAGAGCAGCGAACCCCTGATCAAATCCAGTGCGAAGACAGAAATAAAACTGGTTTTGAAAGTGTTAAAAGAGCGATGCTCAGTGGGGTAAAGATACCTCTCAAATTAAGGCCAAGGTGGGGCAGATCTTTCATGTGAATCTTCTAATCTTATCAGGCTTTATCACGGAGCCCCCTGCCTGACCTCCTTCAAAGCAAACCCTCATCAAAGTGAGGCGACGTCTAAAGTACCTGCCTTAAGATCAAAGACCAAACTAACAAGCGAGGCCCAAACTGTAAAAAAAAAAAAAAAGATTCCACCAAAAATCTGCATCTTTAGCCGCTCAGTTGAGCGTCTAACTTCACTCAGTCAATCCAAACAGACTCGCCGCCCATCCCAAAACTGATTCTGGGAAGAGATTTGCTCCAGTGTGCGAGGCTTTTTCTCAGCCTCCCCGGTGGGTCTCTGCTCACCTCTAAGGCTGACAGAAAACGGAGAAAAGGGGGTTTTGAAAAGAGGACAAAACGAGAAAAATGGCCCGTCCCCATCGCCTTGGACCCCCGGCCTCTGGTTGAACCTGGAACCGGCGGGTCAAACCGGGAAACCCCCATCAGCCCGATGGTTTCCCCACAGCCAAACAATGCCGGAGCAGGCCACAAGCCCAACTGACTGATGAGAGGGAGG